AAGGGCAAGCTGCTGTGCGAACTGCGGGCGGGGTCTGTTCGCAACGAAGATGTGGTGCGTCTGAAGGTTCACGAAGACAACCTCGGTTGTGCTTCCATCGTGTGCAACATGAACACGTTCACTGACAGGGGTGCCCTTTGGCGCGTTGACTCCGACGGCGACTTCGCAACTGACAAGCACCGCACGCTGTGGATGATAAGTACGCGCGTACTGTCGAACATGGGCATCCAGGGCAATGCGCTTAGCGCAGGCTGTCGAGACATTCGCATTGCTAGCCCGCACGTTAGCCCAGATATCCTGGAAGCAGCCTGCCGGAGCGGAACGCTCCATGTCGTAACGGCTGCGCCGAGGAAAGATTACGCTACTCGCATCACTCTGGAGCCAGAGGTGCGCGAAGAGGGAGAGTATCTCGGCGTTATCCTTGAATGGGTTGGCAACCGAGTATACCAGCACGCTGCTCTTGTTCGCAGCGCTACTGCGGAGAATACTCTTGGGCTCGGCGCTCTGCGGGCTGCCATTTCCATAGTGCAGCCTTGGTCTGGATCGCCAGTCGCAGTGGGAAATGTGCTGAAGAATAGAGTTTCTCCATCGTCTGCTTTCGTCCAGTCGGTGTTGCGCAGGCGCCGCATTCAGCTGTCGGACGATCAGAAGCGATGCGTGGAGACCATCAACGCCTCGGACAATCATCACTTAATGATCCAGGCTTACGCAGGTACTGGAAAGTCGCTACTTTTCGCTTTGCTGGTTGAGGCAGCGTTGGACCACGTCGACAGACAGAACGGCGCAGTGGTGATCGTGACTCCTTCGCGTAATCTGCGCGACTCTATATTGCAAGGTCCGGATTTCCTAGACAATGTGTTTGTGGCGGATGATTTCGGGCCCCGAGTTGTTTGGCTTGGGCGACCTTCAGATGCCCCTGGGGCGTTGAGCACATGGGAAAATAAGGTTGCGGACTTGGTGCATGAAGGGCTGCACTTTCTGCGCGCAGAGGTGCAAGAGCTGGAAGCTTTGCATCTACGCCCTGCTTTTCAGACTATCATGGAGTTCCGCATCTCCTGGAAGGACTTGCCAGCGGCCTCTGCTGTCGTGGTTGGGGGCGCTGAGTTCGCGGCGTTGGAGGAGTTCCGCGGCCTTGCTCGCCAGCGCATGCTACAGATCTTCGCCATCAAACGGAGAAGGGCGGAGCTCTGGGAGGACGTCATCAAAGAAGGCACCAACGGTTATCTCATCGTGTCAACAATGGATTCTTTCGTCAAGTGGCGGGCGGGAGCCATTAAAGGATACCTGAACCGTTTGTTGGGTCGCCTGGAGATCAGCCTGTTCTGCATGGAAGAGTTTGAGTCCTACGACGTTTCCCAGGTTGTAGCTGCCTTGGCGAACGTGTCTGTGCAGACATTGCTCATGGTGGGGGGCCAGCATCAGAGAGTGGAGAATGTCGGTGGCCGGCGTTCCCGCTCCACCTTCAGCTCTGACAGCGCGGTCGGCGCGCTGCCCTTCGCTCCGCATGGCCTGGAAGGTGATGGCGAGGATTACACCGCGATGGCAGTGAGCGTAGCTCAGCCCACGCCGTCTGCTCTGACAGGAAGCGCGGCCGTCCCTGAGGCCCGTCCGTGGTGCGAATGGCGCCAAAAGGCCGAGAATGCAGTTCTCGACGTTTGCAAAAGGTGCGGCAAGGACGTCTGCAATTACGTGGCGCACTGCTTCGAGTTCGCGAACACTTTTGCTTCTGACTCCGCTGTCGCTCGTGACACTACATTTCAGCACGTATTCTACGACGGCGGCCAATGGTGGAGGAGTCCAGTGCGGGGCGGTGATGAAGTCGGTTGGCACCCTCTCTTGTTCGAATGTTTATGCCACGCCGTTGCCGCAGATTTGTGCGAGCACAGGAATCTCCAGCGGGAGGGGAAAGCTTGTCCACGACCAACGGTGCTGATCATCATGCCTTTGAGCCGGTCAGTAATCCCGCTGTGTTGCTTGATGCAAGCTGCTTTCGATGACTCAAGTCTGGGCCCAGGGGTCGTGCAAGTGTCGCTCCCTTTGAATGTGCAGGGGGAGACCGTCCCTATAGTTCACTGCGTGCGGCATCGTCGCACAGTGGGTGCTCAGGACCAATGCGCTGGGACGCAAAGGAACTTGAATCAAGAGTACATCAACGTGACGCGCGGGGTGATGAAGACTTGCATGTGGGTAGAAGTACAACCGTTCGGGCATCCAGGAATGCCCGCGACGCTCGCCATGAGTATGTCGGCGGTGGGTCCAAGGACGAGTTTTGCTCCGCGTACGCGAAGCGCAGGAACAAACACATCTGGGAGAGCCACCTTCTGTGGGGCATTGAGGACCGCCAGAATATACGAGCGTCGTATCACGACTGCTTTGCGGTTTGGCTTCGGCATGATGCTGCTCGTCGTGTGCATGACATCGCTGATGAGGTGTGGTGGAAGCTGGAGCGGAACCAGATTCCAAACTTGCCGACCCTCGGCCAGGGACGCAGCGACTACAAATCCTTTGATGATGTCCTAGCGCAAGCAGCCGGCGCAGGCACCTCTCTTGCGCAATTCGTGCGCGAGTCCACCAGGTCGCTTCGGAATTTGGGTCGTGGAGCGGCAGCCGAGCGATGGGACGTGCAGGAGATGCACGACAAGGTGAGCCGCGATGTGGACTTGATGGATTGGATGCCAGCCATGACGTTCGGCCATTTGTTGCTGCCGTGCGCCGCCGCAGAGGTGAGCTCCGAAGCAGGCAAAGGCGAGGCGCGCCTCTGCTTCCCATTCCTTCATGCTCACGCGGGTCTGGAGGTCGAGAGCGCTGTAACAGCACTCTGCAGCCTGGCCTGGTTTCTGTCGTTCGTGCTGGAGAAGGACCTCGTGTCGCATGCGCGTGTGAGCAGAGAACTGCATAAAATGCGGGTCATAGAAGAAGACGGGGACCTTTGGTTCAACAAGGCCTGCCAGTCCGGACGCATAGCCACAGCCATCAAGGACAAGGGCAAGAGCGTAGTCTACATGTATGTTGGCGGAGGGGCAGTGGACCACGAGCAGTCTTACCTCTTGGGCGGCATCGTAGTTCTCTGCAAGAGCTGGAAGTGGGCGGCTTTGGTGTATTCCGCGGTGAGAATTGCGGGCCTCGCGTGCAACAATTTGATAGGCTCCTTGGGCTCCGCGTTGGTGATCTGCGACGAGACCGAGCCAAGCGAGTCTACATCTGAACCCACATCTGCGACGCAATCACCCGTTCTTGAGTTCTGCAAACTGACTGAGGAGACGTGGCTCTGTGTTGGTGCATTGGGTGACGTGTTTAAGTCCGATGTCGAGGCGCTAGGGCGCACTGGAATAGCCGAAAGGGACACCCAGTCCGACCAGGTAGGCATCCAGTTAGTATCTCCCCAAGAACTTTATGAAGCAGAGGTGAAGCTCTTGCTCGGCGGGGGCGCTTAGATTCCCAGTCTGTCTGCTACGGAAACTGCCGAAGCAGAGAGCGTCTTCGGTGCGTAGCAGTGATAATCGGTGGAGGACGCCGACGGCGACGACGTTGGAAACGTCGAAGGCGCCGACGACGACCACGACCACGACGACGACGACGACGATGACCGCTCGACGACGACGACGACGATGACGACGACGACGACGACGCCGACGCGGAGGACGACGACGACGACGACGACCCGACGACGACGTCGTCGAGACAACGACGACGACGACAACGAGAACGTGAATGGCGACGCCGACGACGCCGACGCCGCGGCGACGACAGGGGGGGCACTCCTCGGAGCCTCTTCACTCTGGAGAGCGAGCGGAACGCTCGCGCCCATCCTGGTTTTGCCTCGATGTGGCAGCGTTGCTGAATTAGGTTGCATCGGCCATCACGGTTACGGGCTCGCCACTTTTTGTTGCGATGCATGTTTCACTCCTTGCCCCATTGGCCCCGCCCTCGTGGCAGCAGCGTTGTTGCGGCTAACGCCCGAGGACATGCAGGCACGGTTGCCGCCGCGGGATGCCCCAGACACGCGCCACTGTCGAGCATTTATTTGCACGATCTCGTCCCCTTGCGAAATTAGGGCACCCAGCTCCCTCAAACACACACACGCACACACATGCAAAACACACACGCAAAACACACACACACATACAAAACAACAAAAAAACATAAACACACGCACAGAATTTAAACCTTTTCCCTCGCTGCCAAGGGGGTGAGGGGGCAGGCGATTTTTTCTTTGGAGGTCGATCGGGCCTTGGCCAGGCCTGGAAGTCGAACCTCCGATGCTTCGTCTACCGCGCTCGTGCGCAGTAGGCGCGTCGTGCGTTACGCAACGTGCTGGCTGAACTGCACCCGCCCTTGCTCACGAAATAAAGGAAAAAACCAAAGCAGGAAGAAGGCCCCCCCAACTCTTGCAGGCTTAAAGTGCCACGACAGGGCCTCCAGGGATCGAAGAGCTCCAGGCTATCTACGTGGCCTTCGGCCTATCCCGCCGCAGGCTATTTACTGGCCTTCGGCCTATCCCGTAACAGGATATCCCGTGGTCTGCGGCTGCAAGGATCCGAAGGCCCCGCGGGGCCCGCGCACTGCACCCCTTGCACGTTTCGTGGTCACATTGGGAGTTCCACCAAAAGCGTCGGTGACGGTTTTCGCGCGCGCGCCCCCCCCCCTACGCATTCGGCACACCTCTCGCGCGCTTCGTGGCCCCATAGGGCGCGGAAGGAGGAACAGGAACTGAGCCTAGCCGCTGGGCCCAGCCGCTTTGGTCGAAGTCGGCCGTTTTTTTCGAAGGCCATGGCTGGGGGGCCACCGCCCAAGCGCGAGCGGCTCGAGGAGCCGAATGTCGCCTGGCGCCTGCTGGGCGCTCAGGGGTCTGCAGGGGTCGAGGACTCCTCGGCCGCCCAGGCCGCCAAGGCAACCTCGACCGAGACGGGCGGCGAGGCGCCCAACCGGGGGCGGCCGTGGCCGCGCCCGGCCTTGGGGCGGCCGATGCCGCCGCGGGCACGACCTCCGCCGACGCGGAGGCCACCGTGGAGACCGAGGCCGCGGCGGCCTGGCGCGAGACGATGCACGCGCGCAGCGCGTGGGTCATTGTGCAGGAGGTGGCCGACCACCAGGAGGCGAAAGCAGCGGAGTACAGGCGCCAGGCAGACTTGGCGTATGACAACTACCAGGACGCCTACAAGAAAGCCATGGTTCGGGGGGGCGTTTCGCCTGTGCGCCCGCGCGCCGACCATGGCCAGGTTTCGCGGCTCGCCATGGTCAGCGCGCGGGCCTGCAGGCGATGGGGCCCTCGACAAGGCGCTGCGCAAGCCGACGGAGGCGGAGTGGCGGCGTCACCAGGCCGAATACGTCGGCCAGTCTTACGGTCGCTGGGCAAAACTGCGGAGGAGGCTGAGGGAGGATGAGGGATAAGGGGGGAGGGGGATAGATGGAGAGGAGGCTGAGGGAGGAGGGTCAGGAGATAACGGTGGGTGGGCTTAAGAGCGCCTCGCCCTGCGAGTGGGTCGTCGTCTTGTCGCTTGTCGTCCTTGCCGCAGATGCGATTGCCCCTCGTGTGTCCCCACCCCCTCCGTCACCCTCCGCCCCTCCTCCCGATCGGGCAGTGGTGGTGGGGGGATGGGGGAAGAGGGGGAGGAGGAGGAGGGGGGTAATACTGTGGGGGGCACCAAACAGGGAGCTAACACTCCAGGCCCAATAGGCGACGGTGGCCCCGAGAGCTTGAGGCTTAGGCCCCCCCTATCTCCCAATGCCCGTAGAGTTCAGGCCCCAGGGCCTGATTGAAATTGCGCCTTCTGGCGAAACGCTTCGCGCATGTTTTCAAACCCCCTACTCGCCCGCTCCCTCCTGCCCCCCCTCCCCTTGTCTGTGGCCGTTCTGAGGCAAGCCTCAAGTCCTGGTGGCATCCTGATCGTTCCCTCTAGTGCTCCAGTGTCTGGCGCCCCTACCTTCAGGCTCCCAGCATGAGCTCCTTGGCCGAACAGTCGAGGTCGAGGTCGAGGTCCCCGACTCCTGAGACAGGCAACAGTGGCTTCACAGTTCGGCTTCCAGTTCGCTGCAGCAGTCCCTCCTTGCAGCTCGGGAGGCGGCGATTTTTTCTTTGGAGGTCGATCGGGCCCTGGCCAGGCCTGGAAGTCGAACCTCCGATGCTTCGTCCACCGCGCTCGTGCGCAGTAGGCGCGTCGTGCGTTGCGCAACGTGCTGGCTGAACTGCACCCGCCCTTGCTCACGAAATAAAGGAAAACAGACCAAAGCAGGAAGAAGGCCCCCCCCCCCCAACTCTTGCAGGCTTAAAGTGCCACGAAAGGGCCTCCAGGGATCGAAGAGCTCCAGACTATCTACGTGGCCTTCGGCCTATCCCGCCACAGGATATCTAGTGGTCTGTGTTATCCCGCCACTTTGCTGCAAGGACCCAAGATCTTCAGGCTACAATGCTAAAGAAGGCTGGCATGCTGAAGCTTGAGACCTCTTCAAGGCTTACATCAGGTTGTATAAGTGTAGAAAGGCTGTCAATGGATAATATAGACTGCTGGCAATTTTGCAGTTGCAGATGTAGTACATTTAATGCTATCTGTACTGTTTTGCTTTATGTTGAATCCTTTGCGTTCCTGTGACTACTTTTGTGCCAGCGCCATCATGCCGCGACGACGACGACGACGACAAGGACGATGACGTCGATGTCGACGACGACGACGACGATGATGATCACGACGACGTCGACGAGGACTCATCGACGACGCGCTTCCTCTTGCTTCTTCTCGTCGTCTTCCTTTATTGTGTTTGCTAGTCCGCCATGTATGTTGCCGAGCCTTGTCGTCCTGCTTTTTCTTCTCCTCCTTTGTCCAGTTCTTTGAAAATGTCGGCAGCCGTAGGGGCCCGAGTGACTCACGCCAGGAGCTGAGTCGTTCAGGCTCCTCGTCCTTCTCCGCCGTTTCGTTATCGGAGTTCTGGTGGTGCGCGCACGAATGTCTTCACGTGTGTTGTATGATGATATCGCTCGCGCGAGCGTAATGCCATTCGTCATCTCGCCGACTCCGCTTCCCGACGTTCTTGGACGGCGTGGAAGGTTCTTCAGTTCTTTCCAAGACGGTTCAAGGGGATGACGACGTCGACGACGATGACGACCACGACGACGACGATGAGGACCACGACGCCGTCGACGACGACTCATCGACGACGCGCTTCTTCCTCCTCCTTGTCGTCCTTCTCCTTTCTTATGTTTGCTGATCCTCCTGGTATGTTTCCTTGCCTCTTCTTCCTGGTACTTCTTTTCCTCCCAGCAGGGTCCCGAAGGAATGCGGACCGAGATGGCGCGGTCTCGGGTTGCAGAGGCTCCCGAGAAGTTGGCTGCGGAAAACCAGAGGGTACGCAGCATCCTCGTGAGGCCCCAAAGGCATCTAGGAAGGGCCACGATTTCACCAGGGCGCTCAGGAGAGGCCCAAGTCTACATTTCCTGCAGCGTTGTCGTCGCTGTTGCCATTCTGGTTCACAGTGATGAAGTGTCGCTGTGAGCTTAGCTCGGCCAGCAGCAATCGCTGCTGCCTACGAGCAATCTCCCAGTGGCTGTGAGTTCTCTCCGCCCATCATTTTCGCTGTGAGCTTAGCTCCGCACGGACGCTCTGCCTTCCAACGCCGTAGCGCGGTGGGCATGGAGGTGCTGGTGTGAGCCATGTCTGGCGAGTGCGAGGGCCCTCCGTGGCGGTGCAGAACATGCAGCATGGACTTTGGAACGCGGAAGTGCAAGTATGACATCCACATGTCTGGGCGCTACCATGCTCGCCAAGTTCGCGAGCAGTCTGGCCTACGGGAGCGGAAGGGCAATATCTTGCGCCGGATGACAGACGTCACAGGTGCCAGCTTCGTCTCGTGGCTCAAGAGCACCATCACACGCAGCCAGCGGGCGATTCGGAACGGCGACAGGGTCGTCGACTTCATCCCGTTCGGCGTGTCGTGTCTCGTCACTCGTGATGTACACGCAGTTATCTGTCAGCTGCGGCGCCTGAGGACGAATGTTTCAGCCCTTTTGGCTGCTGTCGGCGCTGCGTGCCTTCTCTGGGCGGACGCGTGGGTGCAGGCCGTGGGCGTTCCTCTCACGACCGCATCCTATCGCGGCGACCTGGTGAGGAGACTCTTGCAAACGCGCGCGGATGAGGTGCAGGTAGGGAACCCCAGCATTCGCGCTTGCCGCGGGCGGTCGCTTCTCACAGGCACCCAGGCGTGTGCTCGGCGCAATGCTCGACGGCTTGCATCCTTAGTGCTTGGTGTTGCACGCCGAGCTCCAGGGGCGTACGCTCTACTTCAAGAAGGCAACGCGTCGAGCGCCATGGATGCTTTGTGCGGGTCTGGCCTGCCAATCGGGGGATGCACAGCTAAATTCATGCCGGTGCTGTTGTCGCAGCTGGAGCTGGCGCAGTGGACGTCAGTTGCGACCCGCGGCTTCGCTGGTTCCACGGGCTTGGCGGCACTTCGCCTGCTCGTGGGTCGAAGCGTGACCTTGGCTGGGGCTGACACGGCGCTGGCGCTGCTGTCACAGAGCATCCGTGCAGATTGGGCCGGACCGCCGCGGCTGCCCCCGTTCGAGATGCTCGACCTGGAATCGCAGCTCTGTGCGTGGCACTCTGCGGACTGTGCATCTGCGAACAGCTGTCAGTACCGGGGCATGCGTGGTGCACTTCAGCTGGCGCAGTAAAGTGTTTGACTTCGTCGGCGGTGCGCGCGTTTTTCATTGCAGCGGCATGGCCGCAGCATGGTGCGAAATGCGCAGACCAACGGTTCGTTGGCATAGCGCGCGTTTGCATCCAATGCGCAGGTGGAACACAGCTACCTTCAGTAGTCGCAATCACCGCTCTTCCCTTTCTTCATTCACCTTTCCCTTCGTCGACATGGCACGTCAGATGCGCCTCGAGCGCACAGCGGGCAGATGTCATGTCATGGGCGCAGTGCGCGCCCGCGCCTGAGGGAGGAGTGTGGGAATGGATGGTCATGAGGGAGGGGGAGGAGGTGAGGTGTGGGAGTGTATGAGCTGCCATCAGCTGACGCATGGCGTTTTTCTAGACGCGTTCGTGTCTGGATGAGAAGGCGGAGGACTCTCAGATCCAGGCTATCGCTTTGTCGCTCTTGTCGCTTTCGATTGGCAGAGGCTCCGGGAAGCCGCTGGAGGAAATCCAGAGGTCCGCAGCAGCCTCGTGCTGCTCCAAGAGGCTCCCAAGAAGGGACACGAAGTCACCAAGCCGCTCAGAACTGGCCCAAGTCCATATTTCCTGCAGCTTTGTCGTCGCTGTTGCCATTCTGGCTCGCAGTGTTGAACAGTGGCTGTGAGTTTTACTCTGCCTACATGCAATCGCATCCGCCTATGAGCAATCTTCCTGTGGTTCTGTGTTCGCTCCGCCTAGTAGTTGGCAGCGAGCTCAGCTCGGCATTCGTGCAATGCGTCGCATTTGTGCTCCCTCCTCCTTGTCCTTCTCGTGCTCCTACCCCTCCCCCTCGCTCGCCCCCTCCCCATCATCTTTTCCCTCCTCCTCCTCCTCCTCATCCTCCCCCTCCTGTCTCGGAGACCAGCTCATTGCCATGTTCGCGGTAACCTACTGCGTGGCTCCACGTTGCTGACAGTGGGCACGACATTACAGTGCCCAGGGGCCCATTGTAGCTGGACGGTTGGGCAAAGCGAAGGCATGTGACGATGCCGTCCGACCGCGGTCTGCCTCTGTAGGGGCGCTTGAACTAACGAGCCCCTCATTGCCTACTCTGGAGAGTTCCCAAGTACCCAGTCGGGGCTCGTCAGGATCTAGGGCCCGAGGGGGCAGCGCTAATTGAAGCTCTCCTCTTATTTGATCGATTTCCTCCAAGATGGCCCCAGGAAGCGCCCAGGAGGCACCATGAGGCCCCAATATTGCCCCAAGATGGCCCTCGTGAGTCCCCAAAGGCTTCTAGGAAGGGCCACGATTTCACCAAGGCGCTCAGGAGAGGCCCAAGTCTACATTTCCTGCAGCGTTGTCGTCGCTGTTGCCATTCTGGTTCACAGTGATGAAGTATGGCTGTGAGCTTAGCTCGGCCAGCAGCAATCGCTGCTGCCTACGAGCAATCTCCCAGTGACTGTGAGTTCTCTCCGCCCATCATTTTCGCTGTGAGCTTAGCTCCGCACGGGCGCTCTGCCTTCCAACGCCGCCAACTGCCTCCCTTCTGCCGAGAGTTCGCG